AGCAGAAAGGGAGTAGAGGTGCGCGTGAAATCACTAGAGGGACGACTCCGAATGGAAGCAGATCCCCAGGTGACCTTATTAATTCACTTATTTAAGAACCGTGAAGGACGATTTAGGGGTAGGCAAGTGGTACAGTCTATACCCAAAATCGACTATACCTCCGAGGATTTATGGCTTGCCAAAAGTTCACAAGCCCGAAGTTCCCGTACGGCCCATAGTCGACGGTATAGGCTCTCTGACCCATGAACTTGCGAGACATTTGGCAAGGCTATTGCAGCCTCTAACAGGGCGAACGAGTACATTCGTGAAAAACTCTTATGATTTCGCTCAAAAGATAGCAAATCTCCAAATTGAGTCAGATGAGTTAATGGTCAGCTTTGATGTCACATCACTTTTCACAAATGTACCTAAAGAGGAGGCGCTAGGAATAGCGAGACGTCGTCTGAATGAAGATGTCACTCTGAATGATCGGACGAAACTAACAGTTAGCCAGATAATCGAGGGTATGACAGTGTGTCTTAACATGTCTTACTTCGTTTTTCAGTCAAAGCTTTACAGTCAGGAACAAGGTCTCGCCATGGGATCGCCAATATCCCCGGTACTGGCGAACCTGTATATGGAAGAATTCGAGAACAGGGCGTTAACAAACAACATTAACTCACCCAAAGTTTGGTGGCATTATGTAGACGACACCTTTGTACTTGTTAAACGGGATAAGAAGGACGAGTTACTTGATCACTTAAACTCCATTGATGAGAGAATACAGTTTACTATTGAGTTAGAATCTTGTAGCGGCACAATACCATTTCTTGACTGCCTGGTTCACAGGAATGGGGGAAATTTAAAGACGACAATATATCGCAAGCCAACGGATACTGATGGCGTACTCCACTACACCTCGGGTCATCCGAAACAGGTTTATGCTGGGATAGCCTCAGCGCTTTTCTACAGGGCACAAACCTTGTGCACAATGGAGGAGGACAAAAAGGCTGCGCGGAAAGTGGCAATGGGCAAACTATTAGAAAGTGGTTACCCAAGACGGCTAGTTAAACGCCAATTACATAAAGTGCTACACCGGCAGTCAAGACCCCCAGCCGAGTGGATAGGGACGGTCGGAATTCCGTACAAGGAAGGCACTTCGGAGGCAATTCGGAGGGTATTAAACAAGGAAAATATAAGGGTGATCTTTCACCGAGGTCGAACGTTACGTTCGGCGCTGGTACACCTGAAGGACCCGCTTCCCAAGGATAGGACGACTAACTGTGTTTATAAAATTAAATGTAAGAACTGTACACATGTGTACATAGGCCAAACAGCGAGAGAATTACGCACACGAATTTCTGAGCATAGGAGACGCATTGCAAGACTACCAAGAAACGAGTTTGAATATCAAGCAATAATAAGAGACTCGGCCGTAGCTGTGCATGCATTAGATACGGGTCACCAGATAGACCTCGAAAACGTAGAGGTCATTAGGAAGGGTATCCGATCTACCACTCAGCGGTTGATTGCCGAGGCGATGGAAATTACCAAATCTGACGACTGCGTGAATAGAATGGAGGGGGTAGAAATCCCTAATGCGTGGCGGGCGGTCTTAAGCCGACCAGCTTGACGAGCATCGATGCGTGGATCAGATTGAAAAGTGCAAACCGACTCCCATGGCTTATCCGTCAATGTCATGACACACAAAGGAACACCTGGACTATTCCCACTGTGATCGAACCACCTGAGGTGACATCCCGAACTGTTCCTGTAATGACTCATGGCTCAAGACTCGGGTAAAGCGGTTATCGCCCCTGTTCGCTATAAAATCCCACACCAATTGCACACTGATTCACCTGGTCTGATGAAGCCTCTATGTTAGAGGCGAAACGTTACCAAATTACTATACCAAACCGATTGTTTTCAAACCTCTCTGAACTCATAGTTCACTTATTCTTTCTTACCCTACTTCATTCTGTACTGAATCTCTTGTGCTCCTAGGTAATAGTTATTTCATCTGTATCTTCCCACTGTCTTGCCAATATTTCCCATAAACTTATTCCTTAGACTACATCTTCGATCTTAGTTGTGGTGCCTTTTCTCTCTACCACTACGCCAAAAATCGGTTAACTATTGCACACTTTCCTAATCGCCCTGTCTTTGGCATCTTCTACAAGACTACGATGCACTGATTAAGTCCTGACTTTGCAGTGAATAGGCGTTTATTTCTTTGTCTACTTATCTGTTTAATTCTCCCTTTTCAACATTACCTTTCCGTGCATAGTCACGCACGCCCTAAATATCCACCTACAAGTGAAGGCTGAAAGGAATGCAACTGAGCTCACCCAGCATCTCAACCATCTGGCAGCCCAAAACACAACTTGATTAGTTCAACTCCATAATTAGACCAAGGAATGTCTAGACACTACGCTATGCCTTAACTCCCTACGATGTGAATACTGCCTATATTATTCTGATAAAGCAACTTGAGTTTGATGATCCACTGGAGTTACCTTAATATAGTCTTTTCCTTATTTTCGCAACTCCCTAACTTGCTACTCACAAATAGCTCCAACTGTATTACTCCAGTCTATTAAGTAAGATTGTGTATTACTCATCTGATTTTGATTGGTGAATCTAACTGTTTCATCCTTTTCCATATTCCCCCCCACGCCATCAAACCGCCGCCATCGCAGCACCGAAAACAACCAAATGAGAATGCCCGCGAACTGGTAGCATACGGCGACAAAAGTCCCAAATGAAACTATTCGCAAAAACACCCTTATATTGTAACCCTGTAAAAACCCAATCAATTGACAGCGTCGCATGCCTGAGCATGTTGCAATGTAAATATGATCCGTCCCTTTGTGGGCTCGGTTTCTCGGTACCAGGAGAAATATATCCTTATTATTATGAAGCCATTCCGGTCAGCAATTCGACTGCATCCGCGAATTAATGGGATGGCTCAGGACACAGAAAGTATCTTAGTTTCTTTAATGCAGTCCAGGAAATTCTCGTTACAATAAGATGAAGCTACTTTACCTGACAACAACCTTCCTCTAGTGGTATATGTCCGATTCTTCAATAATAATGTATTAATGCAAGTGATGCTGTTTGCCAGGAGAAGTTAAACTTTTACAAAAGGGCCAGTCTGTATTTGAGGTAGTCAATCGCCATCTAGCCAAAACTCCATTCCAATTTAGAGCATAGTTGCATGCGCAACAGATGGTGCTGCCACAAAGGTCGGAAGATATAAAGGACCTATTAACCATCTAATAAATGTTCTCCTTTCAGTTCACTGTGTGATTCAATGCGAGCACCTAGTAGCTAAGAATTTTGGAGGGTGCTTAAACGATTCACCGTCAACTGTTATAATGGTAGTCAACAATAACAAACCGCAACCTTTTCAAAATCGACTTTTTCAGCAGTTGTGTGAGGAGAACAGTGAAGTTATCCATGCTCTATTGTTGCTTATGGAAGTTAGATGACTCTCCAATGGCAATTTTGTCTTCGCCGTTTTCAATATATTGGAATATGTTTGGAACCGACTGTGATTTCATGATTTCAGAAGGTTTTGTATACAAATCGGTTTTGGTAGGGTTTTTATTGTGGCAACGTTTCGCCCTTGACACAAGAGCTTCTTCAAGCCAGGTCTTGAAGAAGCTCTTGTGTCAAGGGCGAAACGTTGCCACAATAAAACCCTACCAAAACCGATTTGTATACAAAACCTTCTGAAATCTTCGCCGTTTTGTTACACTCTGAGACACCATCATCATATTCCATTATGGGATTGATTATGAAAGAGAACTGTTAACCACTAAGCCTGATGTTCTTTAAAAACTCAACAGTAAATAAAACCAAAGAAAGTTGAGTAATCTTATCTCGAGCAAAGAAGCCACCATTGCTTTTCTCAAAAAGCTGGTAGTGTATGCTCAAAACATCGGATGTCGGAATTTACACAGTTCCCGATTCCAGCTACAGTCATGAAGAAGCTAAAGGATGAAAACTTCAACATTTATGCCAGTCATTTACAACAAATTCAGAAAGAAGTGAAAGTCAGGTTCCATGATCTAATTGACATGGAAATCCCGATTTGGATTTTAAATCATTTGATGAACAGTCCTGTGATGTTGGAGATAAAATCCAGGAAATCTCATAGAGCTTCAAAGTGACACACCGGCAAGATCCGAATTCACGCAATGTAAAAGATATTTTTGGATGAAGGCTGATGCCCTTAACAGATATACCTCAATGTGGGAACTAGCTGTAAGATAATTCCTTGCTTTTCCACCCGCATACTTTTTTAAATGTAGTTTCAGCAAAGGGTTTACATTAACCAAAAACAGAATGGACGTCAAAGCAAGCGGATATATAGCGAACCTCGTTATCAAGTCTGGAGCCGGACATATGCAAGCTTGCTCAAGGACATCAAATTCAAGGCTCGCATTAATATCTCCACAAACATATTGTTACAAAGTTACTACACCCCCTCATCCATGCCGCGCCTTACAATTAAAATCCAAAAATAATTTAACACAATTTTAAATATTAATGCTGACTCGTGTTGTTACAGACAATTAGCTTGGTGTTGCCGCACAATGAATGTTATCTTGAGGCTAGAAGTAAAAAAATATTATATATGGGAAAGAGCAGTTATAACAACAATAAAAAATTTAGTCATCATAACAAAAGGTACAAATAAGACGGGCTGAAAATCACAGATTTATGTCTGTTGTGCGTTGAGAATTTGTTGAAATTACGAGGATCAAGGGTGGGCGGTGCATGAAAAATGCAAAGGATCAAAAGGGAGTCGCGGCTGAATAAAAGTTGAGAATGCCTGTTTAAAGCTACGGAGATATCCTCCTAGACTCGAAACATCCAAACAACCTGAAAAAATTTAAGTGATCAAGCGGTAACAATGAAGTGGAGGTTAAAAGCGTGTGTGTGTGATGTGATTCAGAAAAAAAAGAGTGCGATTTGGAAAATTAAAATATCTCAGAAACCTTAAAGAAACTCACAACCAATGAGAACATCGCTTCCAGACGTTTCGCTCAAATGCCGATTTATTGTGGCGATTTGGTCAACTAGCCGACGAAAAATGGTCCCGTGGAGCCACTGCAGTTGGAAAAGAAAGGGGATATGATTAAATAAACGAAATTAAGAGGTTTTATGAAACGCTTAACTGACGCTTAACTTGCAAGTGCGTTCCCTAGAAACGAACATCATGAAATAGGCTTATAGTGAAGAAACTAAATGGAATAGGAAGCCCAGTTTGCAATGAGTCTGAATACCGGTAGCTTAGGTTGATTCTCCGAGCTGACAATTTCATTACAGATGTTTTACCACTAATCGATGTGGCATCTTCAATGCGTAATACCAAGTGCGTTGTTAGCAGGTAGTGAGCTCAAAAACACAAACACATCCATTGGAAGAAACTGAAGGAAAAGATACCGTTATTGAATAAACCTCAGAGAACGAGAGAGAGCACACGGGAGAGCACCACTGAAATCGCAACCGCGCCATCTCTTACAGAGTCTGTAATCACGGAGATGGTCCCTATCCGGACACATAAACACAAGAGTACATGGATCGATCTAATTCAGTATGTACTGTGAAGTCATCGGTTGGCAACCCTGAGACTTAAACAAGAAATATCCTAAGACAACAGGAAGAGATAGACAGCTAACAGGAATGCAAAGAACATGGACCAAGTACACTTGTCACTAAAGCACGAAAAAGAGCCCAGTGTTGTACTGAAGGGTTTGTTGATGAAAATCAATCAATGGAAATCGGAACCACTCACCCAGTGCGCACATCAAATAAAGGACACAGACGGTGAAAGATAGAAATCTGTCTGGTGTGAATGGGGCCACAGCCGCCACGGTTTGGTCAAAAACAATAACACCGACAGCAATGTAGCACTAGATAACATACCTTTAATGGACAGACTGATGTCACAAGCACTGCAGACCATTTAGATAATTTGGGCACAGATACGATACAAAGTCTCAAATAAGTTGTCCGATAATTGAGAGAATCGGGGGTGCCGACCTAGTCTTACACCAATGCGCAAAGAGCTCGCCGAAAGGGGCAGCGATATGCAGCAGCCAGTTTGGCAATGCTTGTGCAGCAGCTGTGAACTTCTAGTTTTCAGTTAAGCATCAGATACAGTACAAAAACAGGTATTACTACGACATTTGTAACCATTTGAGCAAAATAAAACAGAAACAGGGAGAACGGGCAGCTCCGAAGCACTCCACGCGTAATAGAAGTGTAAAAGTGCAATAGGTAACGAAACTTCACTGTCACATAACCGCAAACGGTTGTGCGTGAGTTGGGAAAATGTGGGGGGAACCTGAACTCATGCAGGAGGGACACTCGAGTTCAGATTTCGAGTCAAATACCTGAACCATTAAGTCACGTATGCAATTAAGTTGTGGGAAGCTAAAAGAGCCTGCGAAAGGCATTTACAAGGCTTCAAATCGCGCTATGGATGTTATAGAAGAAAAGAACTGCTCTAGCACAATCTTCAAAATAGGTGTCATAAGGTGGGTGTAGTCAATAGAGTGAGACGTTATCTACAAGTAAGGGAACGCCATAATGCTAGGCCATGTTCATGCACAGTAAAATACAAAGAGTCTTTAAAGGCCATGCAAACACGATGTGTGGACAGAGAGAAGTTTGCTTAGCTATCAATGATTCGGCCTTCTAGAACCAGTGAGATCCGACAGCATAATACAAATCGCTAGTCTGGATACTGATGAGTCGATCATCCCGCAAAATGTTATATGGGCAACAAGTGACAACCACCAGCACGCAGGCGATGCTGTGCTGCTGCAGACAAGATGGGTGCGGATAATTTCCTGATTTTACCTCCCGTGCAGACAAAACAGGAAAAAGTGTAGAGGCACACGATGCCTTTATATCTTGAAATCGAACAGTGCAAATATCATCCGATGTGATTCAAGCAAATTGGCTACTTTTTAACCTGTAGCTAACACCCACGGAAAAGTAAAACACAAGGTTGCAAATAGATCTCTTTTCGGTAGTTCACCTTAGGCAAATACAGCTACAGGACTGATAGATGCAACAATAATCTAGTGAAGGCAAAAATGAGGACGGATGGGACGGTTTACACAGATCACGTTCTTCCGATGCTTAAATCGATTTAATCGAATGACTCGTGACAGGGCTAACAGACGGCAAAACAAGTTGTGTAAACAGAAGAGGCAAAAAAATAATAGAAATAGATAATTACATAAATGAATAGCACCCGGTTATGCGTAGTACTCCGGGAGCACGAGTTCTCATCAGGGAATTGGCAAAATCAAGGGTTGCACAAGCACCCTATGTTTGCATAACTCTGACTGTGTTAGCCTGATCGCGATGACTTCAGCCGTCTGCAAGAGGCGTTTCCTTATCCCTTTCGGATATCACCTCGGTAGGGCATAATAGATCTTGAAGGCATCTTTGGTCAAAACCTGATGCACACTTTGAGGCAAATGTTCCAAGATCGAACTGTTGATACTTCTGAGCGTGCCTCTCCGCAGTGACCCTGGACGGTGCTCAGCCATCCTTACTGACAGACGCCTCGTCGTATGCCCGAGATACTTGGCACCACAGGTGCAAGTAAATTGGTAAACAATATACGAATCGGACCACACTGTCTTTAAGACGTTGAGTTATAAAGGGTACGGTCTCCGCAATTACGTGCTGGTGGGCGTCCTTATTCTTATCTTCATTAATTTACTGTGGCATTTATCATTCCTGTAGCTATATTTGCTTGGTGTGGACTGCCGGGAAGAGATCTCTTTTCCACTTTGGTTTATTTTTCCCTGGCTATTATCTACGTGTTATAAAGAGCAAGGTACCCTCCGTATTTTCTGACCTCAACAGGTGTTTTAAGTTTGATGCCATACTTGCAGAAACAGGGACGGAACTTCGGTTTATACAGGAATACTCGCAACACAATCAGTATCCTACGACTTATTGGAAGTCGCTCAGACCATGTCATGTGCGCCCGACGATAAGGTCCCTTAAACGCCATGCTCACAATCTGTTGGATGCTGTTCCATCCCGAATACCTGAGTTGGAACGACTATCTGCACTTTACCAACCAAATGTCGAAGGGCTTGATACAGCCTAGCGTGAATCTTTTAAACAATATGTGCAAAGGGTGTGCACAAATGTACAAAAGAGAAAGTACAAGCAACTAAAAATCTTGCATCCAACGCAACCGAAACGTAAATTCCTACCCACTCCAGAGAGTTGTGTGCATAATCTGTCCAGGATACCGTTGAATCAACTTCAGCTTGAGGCATTATCCCTCGGACCAAAATTCTGTTATACACAACCGGTCAGTGGACAAGTCCATATAGAAACCCCGTGTGAAAACTTAATGCACCAACTAGCTGAATTAACACCTACTTCTCCTCTTGCGAGAGACACTTTCAAAACCACCTTAGTACACCTGCCAACAGTATCTACGCTGCGAGGAGAGGTCATCAAACATTCTGTCCAAGAAGCATCGAGAACCAATCAAAGAATTGAGGTCGAATCCCGATCTTATTCTTTCTATCCTGATGAAGGACCGGGATGAGTGTTACTGGACAACTCAGATTACATTTCAAAATTACGAGTTATCTTGCAAGATTCGAGTAAATTCTTGCGTGATACAATCCAGAAGGACAAGACAGCAGACGATGAAGCAAAGGCTACCAAGATCTTGAAAGAATCAAAGCAAATGAACTTGATAACCAATGTTCAGCTTCAGCAGTTACCGCCAGTTGTCTCCCAATCTTCTCGGCTCTACGAATTTCCTAAAGTACATAGGTCTCGCGTCCCTTTACGTCCAACAATTGACATGTCCGCTTCTGCACACCAATTAGTTGCGAAATAGATTGTGCAATTGTTGGAACCTGTACGTAAGGAGCTCTCTATCCATTCCCTGAAGGATTCGTTCGAATTCGTTGACAAAATCAAAGACCTGAAGTTAAACAGTAAACTGATTTTTTCTTTTAATGCAAAATCACTTTTCCCAAATATCCCATTGCTACTCACGGTCAATTTCAGCTGCGGGTATATAACGGGAAAGAGCCTAAATATTGGCAATTCCGTGCCTAAGCTCAAGGAGATAATTTTACGGTGTAACTTTAATAGACAGTTCTTGTTTGACGGGATATATCATAGACAAATCGATGGCGTGGCGATGGGGTCTCCTCTTGGACCCCTCCTTGTCGGTATGTTTCTCGCAAAGCTTGAGCGTGATCCTATCCAAACGGTTATTGTTTCATTTGATTCTCATTGGAGATATATGGATGACACTTTCATCATCTGTGATTTTCACACTGATGTCAACCGTGTGCTCGACCAGTTCAACGGTGTCCATCCCTCAATGAAGTTCACTAGTGAAACTGAAACTGAAAGTAACCTGCCTTTTCTGGACGTTTTGTTAAGGAGGCGCTTGGATGGTTCACTTGAGCGAAGTGTTTTCCGCAAAGCTACATGGCTTGGCCAGTACACACACTTTTCGAGCTTTGTTGCTCTGAAGTACAGACGCAACTTAGTGTGTTGCTTATATTACCGTGCCACCAAGATTTGTAGTTCTGAAACACTCGAGGGTGAGAAAGACCGAATTGTGAAAAGGCTTCTCTCGAATGGTTACCCTGAATATTTCTTCAAAACACACGCCATGACCCGTGAGAGCCTTAAGCCCGTAGCAACGGTTTCGAAGAAGGATGTGTTTTTCTCTCTCCCTTTTAACGGAGATATCGTCTTCAATCTCCTGAACAGGAGGCCTACCCGGCCGCCCACCCGCACGTAATTGCGGAGACTGTACCCTTTATAACTCAACGTCTTAAAGACAGTGTGGTCCGATTCGTATATTGTTTACCAATTTACTTGCACCTGTGGTGCCAAGTATCTCGGGCATACGACCAGGCGTCTGTCAGTAAGGATGGCTGAGCACTGTCCAGGGTCACTGCGGAGAGGCACGCTCAGAAGTATCAACAGTTCGATCTTGGAACATTTGCCTCAAAGTGGGCATCAGGTTTTGACCAAAGATGCCTTCAAGATCTATTATGCCGTACCGAGGTGATATCCGAAAGGGATAAGGA